CGCAGTCGACGGCCCCCTCCTCCACGGCGCTGGCGCTCTCGACGGCCGTGGGCGCGAAGTCCGCGACCGCCGGCAGCGTCATCGCGTCGACAGTGCCTCGCACCTCTGGACGCGAGAAGTCCATCCAGTCCTGCTTCGCGCCCCTCTCCTGGCCCGCCCCGCGGTGAACTTCTTCTCGGCCTGCCCCAGCCACGCGCGCCATGCGCCGCGATCGGCGCGCCCGATGGGCGAGTCGATGTAGTTGGCGTTCGACGCGAGGCGGCATAACTGACACCCCCTTGGCCCGTGCAGCTCGGGCCTCGAGGCAGCGACATAGCCCGGTCGCGCCCCGAGCGTCGACGGTGATATGCCGGCGATCTCGCGCCAGCCTCGAACGGGCCGGCGCCGACGCAGCCGCCGAAGAGGCCGCTCCTGGCGACGCCGCCGGCGCCGACGCTGCGCTTGCAGCCCCCCCTCCCAGCGGGCCCTGGCACATCGTAATCCTCAACCTCTGGTCGACAGTCGACGTCCTTCGAGGGCGGGGCGGCGTCGGATGCGCTCCAGCTGGTTGCCTCTGCGGTGCGATCGCAATTGCCAGCTCGCTGGCCGTCGCCCCGCGCTGCGGCCGCGCGTGCCAGATGCGCCCCTGAGGCGCCTGCTGGAAGAGACGTCCGCCGGGCGACTCGACCGCGCTCGCGTAGACGCCGCACCTCGGCGCGATCCCTGCCTCAAGCAGGCCCTGCAGCACGACGGTCGGGCACTTCGCGTTCGCCACCAGGCGCCGGAACTTCGCGATCTATTCCGCTTCTGGCCGCCTTCGCGATGGAACTGTTCTCGCAGGCGCCTTCGCGGGTGGTCTGCTAGCCCGCGGCAGGCTCCAGCGGAGGCAAGTTCTGCCCCTTGGCCGCAATCTCTGGCGGGCACGCGGTTGCACCTGCCCCGCATTCTTATCGCCCGGTAGTCGAATTCGTCGCTCTTCTGGTGCACGTCGGGCGCCGATGCCAACGTGCTCGCGTGGATGTGCCCCTCCTCGCTCGTGTCAGGCCAAGGGTGGGTTCTATCCTCCTGGGCGGCAAAGGGCCTGCCACAGGGCAGCTCAAAATGCATCGTGGCCATCGCCAACTGATTCACCGTTGTCGGAGCCACTCTATCGAGCCATGTCCTAGTGGCGTTGCGCCAGCGCCGAGACAAGAATAGCGTGGACCATCGACGCCGAGCGGCTGCGCAATGCGCCGTGCCGTCCACGGGCTCTGGACTCGCACTCTATGATCGGCTGCATCCAGGCCTCGAACCCATTCGACGACTTCGTGTTCTTGAGCAGCTTGAAGGCTCTCAATTTCAACGTCGTGCTGGCCGTCAGCATGTGGAACACGGTCTTGGACCTCCTGTCGTCTCCAGCCCTCTCGTCATTAAACGTGCGGCCCATGATGATATCTTCGTCCATGGTCGCAGCCACTCCCATCAGCTCGAAAGTGCGCCCGTTCTGTGAGGCCACGTAACGCTTGAATAGGAAGCACCCATCTGACCAGGACACTTGCTTGCCGTCGAACCTTTCAATATTATTTGTGGTCTCCGTTTCGAAAGGAGTCGCTCTCTCGTCGGCAGTGGCCGCTGCAGCAGCCACCGCAGCTCTTGCTGCAATCACAGATCCTGCCGCTCCAGCAACGGCGCGAGCCGCTTCCGCTTGCACCCGATCTAATCGCTTTCCGGCTTCTCGTGCCTCTCGAATCAGCTCCGCGATGTTGAGCTCCAGCAGCTCGACTTTGCGAAAAATCTCCTCGGGTGTCGCCATGAAGTCCTCACTGCTTCAAGACCTTCGAATAGTTGCCGAATTCGTGCCTCAACACTCGCAGCCTGTTCTGCACGACGAGACCTCTCACAAGGCGGACCATGCGCTTCTCAGCGTCCTTGAGCACTACCAGCCAGATGCAGATCTGCTCGTCAGTGACGAACTCCGTGGTCGTTGTAGTACCACTGCTCCGTGGTACCATCCGATGCCCAAAACGGGCCGCGGTGAGCGAAAGCTCATGAGAAAGCTCAAGCTACATTATGTCTCGAGCCTTCGAAAAGGCTGGTAACACCAAACATGTCATATGCAATATGTTTCCTCCCTGGACACAAGGAGAACTCGCACAGAACCTCTGACCTCAAAGTTCGAACGACGAGACGAACACGTTCTGGGAGGTCTGGGAGGCCCCAAGACCGGCTTCTCATCCCGAACCGCTGTTGTGTAATTTGACGGTCCGAGGGTCCGGCTGGGCCCCCCAGTGCCGAACCGGCAAAAACTTCAGCACTGCTGCCTTCCTTTACGGTTCGATTTGGAAGAACTGGAGTCGAGCCCTGCCGCTGCTGTGGGGGCCTCCCCTAAATGGGGCTGAGGCACACGGGGTCGGAGGACCCAGCCGAACCCGACGCATGGCCCTCGCCCTCGAGATCTCGGAGCTGCCCCGTCCAATCCGTGCTCAAGCGGCCTCCTCACTCGGAGGCGACTGGCTCCTGCTCCAGAGCGCATCCCGCCGACGGCGGGATCCCACCTCCTCGCTCGGAGGGGGGCTGCAGCCGGCCGGCGGCGGCTCTGCAGAGGCAAGGGCCCCAAAGATCGTGCTGTCAATTCCGCCGATGCGGCGCCGCGGCGCAGGCTGCCTCGGCCCCCCTTCCGCAGGCCCTTGATTGACGGGCGAAGAACGGTATAACATACACTTTTTCGCTGTCGGGGGCCCCTGTCCCAGGGCGGCTGGAAAGTTTATACCCCTACAGTGGCACCGTAGGGGTATAAACTTTCCAGCCGCCCTGGGACAGGGGCCCCCGACAGTGAAAAAGTTGACTTTATACCGTTCTTCGCCCGCTGACTTGAGACACAGAGATGCCGACGTCCCCTGCCTGCTCCTGCCGCCTCCCGCCGGCGGGCCCGCCGACGGCTTCCGCCAGATGGCGAGGCGCGCCAGCGGCGGCGCGCTCCGACGGCGAGGCCCTCTCTGGAGCGCCCCCCCTTTGGGAGGCCTGGGCGCCGGCAGGGTGCAGGGCCCGGGTGCGCTCGAGGAGGGGTGCGAAGGATTGCAAAAAAACCCTTCGTTCGAAGGATTGCAACAAAAACCCTTCGTGCTCGAGGAGGTTTTGTTTTGCAATCCTTCGTGCTCGAGAAGTTTTTTGCAATCCTTCGTTCAAGTGAGTTTTTTTTGCAATCCTTCGTTTTTTTTGCAATCCTTCGTTCAAGTGGGGGCGCCGCGGCCACAGAAGCGTCCGCGCGCGCTGGCGAAAGGGGGCCTCAGGGAGCGCACCGAAAGAGGAGGCCACGAACTCTGAGAGGTCTCGTGGACCCGGCCAAGATCTTCCCCCGTCCCCCTACAGCGGGCGCGTACGTGAAGAGATCTTGGCATATGACATAGGGGGTCATGGGGCATGTTGTCACGTCAACTCTGGCCTTCGCGGGGTGCCCATCAACTCCAGTGGGCGCCTGGGGCATCTCTTGTGGCGTGTGCACTGCGGCCCTCAACTCCTCCCCTCCCGGACGCCCCCGCAGAGGCAGGGCGAAAGAGCGGCCCCAGGCCTTGGAGCGCACCGAAAGAGGAGGCCATGGATCTGGCAGAGCTGAGGGCCCCGGAAGGGATGCCCCCCCCCCCCTCCTGGCATTACCAGCCTGGAACATATCCCCATCCCCATGCTGGGCACCTCCTCATCACGATGCCAATCTTAGGGGTTCCCTTATTTTTTGAGGGCGAATCCCTAAGATTGTCATCGCCTTTTGGCGTGTCAATCTTAGGGATAGGGATACGTTCGAGATCGGCCAGCATCGAATCGGGACATCGGATCGAATCGGATCGCCTGCGCCCGGGTGCCTCGCAGCGCCGTGCAAGCATCGGGCCGCATCGGATCGCGGGAGCACCGACATCGAGGGAGCATCGACCTGGCCGAAACCGGTACCGACCCGGACCGATCGGAGCGAAATCGCCCCCGCCCCCCCTCCCGCCAGGGCGCCCCTGGATTTGAGTCGGGCCTGTCCCCCTACAGGTCGATGTTGGATGACAAATTAAAAATACACCAAAAATTATCAAAAAAATGCTCAAGAATGGTCAAAAAATACTCCCCAGACTATTTTGTCGACTATTTCTGAATATCCCCCCTGTAGAGGGACAGGCCCGACTTAACCCTGGATGGGGCAGAGCGAGCGACCCTCCCGCCAGGGCGCCCCTGGATTGATGGGCCTGATTTCCACCACCACGACGATAAGTTGGGGGGGGGAGGGGGTCCTCCTTCCCCTCTTCTTCTTCTTCTTCCTCCTCCTCCTCCACCTCCTCCTCCTCCTTCTTCTTCTTCTTCTTCCTCCTCCTCCTCCTCCTCCTCCTCCTCCTCCACCTCCTCCTTCTCCTCCTCCTCCTCCTCCTCCTCCTCTATTCCTCACGCTCTGCCTCCTCCTCCTCCTCCTCCTTCTAACCCCTTCTCGGCGCTCTGCCTCCTCCTCCTCCTCCTCCCTCCTCCTCCTCCTCCGCCTCCTCCTCCTCCTCCTCCTCTATTCCTCACGCTCTGCCTCCTCCTCCTCTATTCCTGACGATCTGCCTCCTCCTCCTCCTCCTCCTCCTCCTCCCGACTCAGCTCCTGGGAGGGGGGTGCTGGTGGAGGAGCGGGTCTGGGAGCTGCGGGTAGGGGGTGTCCGCACTCTGTCGCGTGCAGCTGGCTTTCGCCCCTGCCGCGGGGCGCCTTCCTCAGCACAGGGGCGCCTCCGACGCCGGGAAGCGCCCGAAAGCCGGCTACACGAGCTCATTCGCGCCCCCCCCCGTTTGCCTATTTACTCCCTCTCGTCCGGCTGGACTCTCTCTCTCTCTCTTTCTCCCTCCCTCCGTCTCCCCTTCCCTCCCCTCCCTCTCTCTCTCTCTCTCTCTCTCTCTCTCTCTCTCTCCCCCCCCCCTCGTCCCTCTCTCTCTCTCTCTCTCTGGTGGTGGACAGCAGGCCCATCATGGATGGGGCAGAACGAGCGACCCCTGGACGGGGCAGAGCGGGCGAGCGGCCCTGGGCCCCGGCCCGCCTCAGCCGAGGATCCGGGCGCGGAACGACGCCGCGCGCCTCCACGCGGGGCCTCGGCGGGCCGCCAGAAAGACGTATGCATCCATGCTTTGCAGGCGTTTACATAGGTAGACATACATACGTACATACGTACACACGTACATACGTACACACATACATGCATACACGCATACGTACATGCACACATACATACATACATACATACATACATACATGCATGCATGCATGCATGCATGCATGCATGCATGCATGCATACATACATACATACATACATACATACATACATATGCATGCATACATGCATGCATGCATACATGCATGCATACATGCACACATACGTACATACATACATACATACATATGCATACACGCATGCATACAAGCATACATTAATACTCACATACATACATAAATACATACATACATACATACCTACATACCTACATACCTACATACCTACATACCTACATACCTACATACATACGTACATACATGCATACATACATACATACATGCATACATACATACATACACACATACATACATACATGCATACATACATACATACGTACATACATACATATGCACATACATACATACATACAAACAAACAAACATACACGCATACATATATACATACATACATACATACACACATACACATATATATATATGTATATATGCATGCATGCATGCATACGTACACACATACATACGTGTGTGTGTTTGTGTGTATGTATGTATGTATGTATGTATGCATGTATGTATGTATGTAGGTATGTATGTATGTATGTGTACGTGTGTATGTATGTATATCCCTGTATGTATGTATACATACATGCATGTATGTGTGTATGTATATATGTATGCATACATGCATGCATGCATGTATGTATGTATGTATGGGTGTATGTATGTATGGCTGTATGTATGTATGTATATATATGCATGTACGGACGTCTGTATATATATATGTATGCAAGTGTGTATGCATACGTTATGTGTGTGAACCTATACACATATGTACATGAACACATGTATGTATATATATATATGTGTTGAACATATACCGAACGATGCGCATGCATGGTATGGATGTGTGGCTACGCACACACACATGTGTGCGGTCGATGCGCGTGCATGAGTGCTGATATGTGTTTACGCACACACGTATAATGTACGTATGCATATACAGATGTGTCTGTATGTATATACGTGCTAGATCCACGCGCGCGCTAATTACGCGCGCGCTCATATTCTAGCCGACCGCGCAGTCGTTGTGAATGTACCCTGCGCTGATCCACGAAAGCCAAATTACCCAGCGAGAGGTTCCCCAGCAAGGAGCTTGCGAGTTCGGCCCGAAGCGCTGCCATCTGGAACGTCACTCTGGGGCCTCGCAGGGGCCCGGGAACATGAGTGCCGCCTCCAGCGACAAGAGGAGGAGGAGGAGGAGGAGGAGGAAGAGGAGGAGGAGGCCCAGGAAGAAGGGAGGCGGGCTGAGGCAGGACAGAGAATAACGACATCGAGGGCCCCCCCGCGGATCTGGGCCATCCCGGGCCATCCCTGGCGCCGCTGTCCCGGGCCTGCAAGAAGCTCCCAGAAGGGCTGCAGGACGGCTCAGGACGCCCTCGAGGGAACCGACGAGGGCCACAAGACTTCCAACGACGATCCCCGGTGGACCTGGGCGTCAGGACCACGGAGAGGCCCGCAGAAGCCACCGCGACAGGCTCAGGGCCTCCTTAAGGAGCCGCCAAAGGGGCGCCAGGGGAGCTCCCACAGCGCCCCCCGAGCCCCAACAATCTGACACACAAGTTGCACAGCACCGCCTTGACGAGGAAGCGGCTTGTGTTACATTTGTGCTAAATTGAGGGACCCTCTTGGGGCCCTCTCGGAGCTCTCTTGGGGTAACAGAAAGAGCGAGGCACGAGTGCTGACGAAGCCCTCAAGGAAGGGGTTCCAGAGGAGGGGCCAAGAGCGCGGGCATCGGATGTGATGGCCAGCTTTCCTCGGATTGTTTCGAATGAAGCGGCTCCCAGGCGGCGCCCATGGCCCGTTTCTTCGTAATGTTTAGAATGACGCGACCCAAGGGCTCCAAGACGGCCCCAAACAGCCCCAGAGGGCCCCAAGACGGCCCCAAGAGAGCATTAGATGGCCTCCAGACGGTCCAGACGGCCCCAAGAGAGCCTCAAGACGGCTCCAGAGACCCCCAGAGGGCCCGCGAGAGGGCAGGAACGTGCTGGAATGCGCCCCGAGGCTGGAAAACCGCCGAGGCTCGTCAAACATCTACGAAAACCTGAATCCTCCATTCCGAGAATCGGGAATGGACAGAACCCCCTTTAGCAAAAAGTGGTTTAGTGAAAACGACCTCGGGCCCAAATCTGGCGGGCGAAAGCCTGGAAAAGGACGGCTACGGCACCCTCTCGAGAACCGAAAACGGACAATTCACTAATCGACGTGTCAGGGTGGGGGTCCTGTCCACCCCCGAGAGAAACTCGCCCCCCTCCCCCTGAGCCTTCCCCGCCCCCCCGGCAGCATTGCCCCTGAGGCAGACGTCGGGGGGGGCTGGCCGCGCGCGCGACAGGCCCGACAACGGGCCCTGGAGGCCCAGGTCAAGCAAAGAACGCCGGTTGAAACACCTCCTATCGTTGGGGATCTGGGATCGGGGACGATAGGCGGCGGTGGACAAACCTCCCTTTAGTAAACCTCCCCTTAATGGAAACGGCCTGGGACCGAAACCGACGGACCTGGACCCGCAAAAATGACGGCCGCGACGCCCTCTCGCGAGCCGAAAACGGCCAATTCCTGAATCGACGTGTCAGGGTGGGAGGTCTGTCCACCCCCGAGATAGGCGGCGGCATCCAAACCCTACCCAGCAAACCATCGATTCTCCTGAATCGATGGAAAAGCGGGGGTAGAAGGCTCGGATTTCGCCACGTGTCCGACGAATCCCGAACCCTACCCCGCCGCCCAGCAGATTGCCTGAGCCGCTGATCGGCGAGGGTGCATTTCGGATCCCGCCGCCGAGACGAGGCGCAACTTAGGGAAACCACTCCGGATCTCGAGACGTTCCGTGAAAGGTTCGATGCGTTCCCCCGAAGGTTTGCAAAAAAACCCAAGGTTTGCAAAAAAACCCTGGTTTGCAAAAAAAACCCTTCGGGTTTTTTTTTTTTTGCAAACCTGGGTTTTTTTGCAAACCTTCGTTTCTCTCATTAGCGTTGCCCCCGCGACAGACGTCGGGCGGGCCCGGCCGCGCGCGCAGGCGAGGGGGAATGATGGGGAAGTGGACTGGATCGGGGAGGGGCATCGATTCACCCCTCCCCGACTGATCCTACAAGCCCGCTGAAGATATTGCATAAGAAACCATTGGACTGGGAATCGAAGGTCTGGAAACCGGCTGAATACCAACTGATAATTGGCCATGGATGTCACCGCCGCCCTCATCGGATGCGGAATCATCCAGGGTCTGAAACATCCTGGGCACGTTCCTTCACGAACGCCCCCCCCGTACAATGGCTCAGAGCGCCCCAGATTAGACGCCCGAGGTGGGTACTGAAAAAATGGGTACGATGTCCAACATATTTTCTCCCAAACCTACAGAAGCTACTGTTGGGCAGGCGGTCGTTTTCTCCAAAGGACAGCGTCCGTGGCGACACCGATAGCGAGCCCTAGTCAAAATGAACAGACAATGCTGACGGTTTTCGTATCTGCCCCTCCTCTCGGTACCAATTTCGACCCTACAGACACTTGGAAGGTGAAAGTGGGGGTCGGGCGCAGGGTCCCGGCAATGGTGTCTCTATGGGCCATGCATGGGCGATACATCCTCGATTGCTGTGTTCGGCGGGAAACCAGTTGAAGTTCCCCGCCTGCACCCATGCGCGACACTTGAGCACAAACGAAGCAAGGCGGCGAGGGGCTCGAGAAAGACGACGAAGGCAACGTGCGCTGAGGGCGCAAAAACAGAAGGCTGGAATGAACGAAAAGGGTGAGGTGAGTCGGGCCATTTGGACACCCGAAATGGGTACCGAAAGAATGGGTACAATGCCCAACAACAAATGTTGTCCCAAACCAACAGCGGCCGCTGTTGGGCAGGCGGCCTCCTGTCTCAAGTGGACACAGGCCGCGGCGGCGCGGACAGCAGTTCCTGTTCAAAATGAACAGGAACTGCTGTTGGGCATTGTACCCATTCTTTCAGTACCCATTTCGTGCGTGCAGAGGCCAGGCCGGCCGCGCCTGCGCCACTAGGGCCCCGGCACCCCGCCAGGTGCGGCGGGTCCGCCAGCGGCGCGAAGAGCCACTGCTCCTCGCCGCCGCAGACCTTCGGGTTCCGCACCTCTTGCGCGGGCGGCTCCAGGGAGTGGTGGTGGCCCCCTGGCCCCGCTGGCACGACACATCCAGGCCTCCGCCCCGTACTGCCCCCCTCCTGCTCCTCCTCCTCCTCCTCCCCCTCCTCCTCCTCCTCCTCCTTCTTCTTCCTCCTGCTCGTCCTCCTCCCCATCTCCTCCCCCCCTTCTCCTCTCGCTCCTCCACCTCCACCCTCTCCACCGTCTCCTCCTCCCGCTTCTCCTCCACCACCTCCTCCTCCTCCTCCACATCCTCCTCCTCCGCCTCCTCTTCCTCCTCCTTCTCCTGCTGCTCCTCCTCCTCCTCCTCCTCCTCCTCCTCCTACTACTACTACTACTACTACTACTACCACTACTACTACTACTACTACTACCACTACTACTACTACTACTACTACTACTACTACTACTACTACTGCTACTATTACTACTTACTACTACTACTACTACTACTACTACTACTACTACTACTACTACTACTACTACTACTACTACTACTACTACTACTAACTACTACGACTACTACGACTACGACTACGACTACGACTACGACTACTACTACTACTACTACTACTACTACTACTACTACTACTACTACTACTACTACTACGACTACTACTACTACTACTACTACTACTACTACTACTACTACTACGACTACTACTACTACTACTACGACGACTACTACTACTACTACTACTACTACTACTACTACGACTACTACGACTACACTACGACTACTACTACTACTACTACGACTACTACTACTACTACTACTACTACTACTACTACTACTACGACTACGACTACGACTACTACTACTACTACTACTACTACTACTACTACTACTACGACTACTACTACTACTACTACTACGACTACTACTACTACTACTACGACTACTACTACTACTACTCCTTACTACTACTACTACGACTACTACTACTACTACTACTACTACTACACTACTACTACTACTACTACTACGGCTACTACTACTACTACTACTACGACGACGACGACGACGACTACTACTACTACGACTACTACGACTACGACTACGACTACTACGACTACGACTACGACTACTACGACTACTACGACTACGACTACGACTACGACTACCACTACCACTAACTACCACTACTACTACTACTACTACTACTACTACTACTACTACTACTACTACCTACTCCTCCTCCTCCTCCTCCTCCTCCTCCTCATCCCCTCCCCCTCCTCCTCCTCCTCCTCCTCCTCCTCCGCCTCCTCCTCCTCCACCTCCTCTCCGTCTCCTCATGAATAACTCCTCCCTGTCGCACCCCGAAGCCAATCGGAAGGGCGGCCCCAGCGTTTCGCATGAGACTTACTCACTCGATATGACCCTGAATCGTAAACATTGGCAACTGTTTCAGAGATGGAGGGCGGGTGGTATTCAAAATGTGGCTCTCGCCTTAGCGCCGCGCACACTCGCCTTTACACAGTTGCAGCAGTTTATTTGACTGAGGGTGGCTCTTTTTCAAAATGTGGCTCTCGCCCAAGCGCTGCGGGCATTCGTCTTGAACAATTGCACGATTTTCACGGGTTGAGTGCGGCTCCTTGCTCCTTTTCGAAACGTGATTATCGCGCACATCTGTCTTAAAACATTGCAAGAGTTCCACGGGCTCCCATAGTTGGCCTACGAGAAACGTTGTTGTATATGTATATATACACATACATACATACTAGCACCATCGCGCGCGCTCAGCGCGCGCTCAAGTTCTACCTAGGCTTGATAGGTTTGATAGGCTAATTCATGTAATATCATGTTGGTCGCTTCTTCCGTCCAGGGACTCTCTTGGAGGCCCTGCGCAAGCCTCGGAATCGAATAGAAGGGGAAGTGCGGAAACGCAGAAATCATTACTTTCCTTTAGGCATTCAACGATTTGAGGCCCTCAAAGGCTTCCTGGTTTTTTTTTGGGGAGGTGAGGGGGGTCTCGATTTGGTTTGTTGTGCAAGAGTAGACCGGGGGCCAAACTTGGGAAACAAAATCAAAAATGTGGGATTTCCATTCCAGTTCTTCGGCGCTGTTCGGCGCTGTTTATTGTTTGTGCTTCGCGGATTGCGTGCCTCAGGAGTGTGGGATCTTCCGGAGCTCCTGGGGGTTCTGGAGGCCTCCTGGAGGCCTGGAGAGCCGTCGGAAGGGTGTCTCGGGCTGCGCGGGAGCGTGTTGGGCCGTTCTTTACGTTCTGGGGGACCCTTGGGGTCGTCTTGGGTTGTCCTTGGGCGTCTTGGGAGCCCCCCGGGAAGCCAGGAGGCGCGATACCGGCCAGATGTCAAGGGATGTGTGGGGTCTCCGAGTAGGCGTCCACTTTGGAAAAAAAAGGAAATTCTTGGAATTTCCTTTTTCTTTTTTATCCTCGATCTTCGAGGGTTGGAAGCGGGAAAACGTGAGCAGGCGAAAAACATTAGAAACACCATTGGAAATCAACGATTTTACCCTCTTTGGGCTCTCTCGGGACGGCTCTCGCAGCTCTCTTGGGCTGTTCTTGAAGCCTCGTCGGGGTCTTTTTGGGGCCTCTCAGGGATCGGGAATGTGTTGGGGGTCTCTGGGTGGTCCTGGAGGACTCTCGGAGGACTCTGGAAACGTCCTGCTCCCGCTCTTGGGCCCATCTTGAGCCTGCTCTGGGGTGGTCTGGTGCTGTCCTGGGCGCCTCTTCGGCAATATTGGAGACTTCTTGGCCCGTCTTGGGGGCCGTTATGAGGGTCTCTTGGGTGATCTTGGGGCGGTCTTGAGAGCCTCTTCGGCGCTCTTGCACCGTTGGAAGCTCGAAAACGCGAGAAGCCCAAACATGGAAAATAACCAATGACAATTTACGATTTTGGCCTCTTCGGGCCGTCCCGGGACGCCTCTCGGACCTCTCTTGGGGCCTCTTGGAGGCCACCTGGGAGCCTCGAGAGCCGACGGAAGGCTGACTTGGGCTGCTTGGGAGCGTCTTGGGCCATCCTTTCGCATTCTGGGGTCTCCTGGGGCGTCTTGGGCCCTCCTGGAGCGCTGTGGAGGCTCCCCGGAAAGGCCGGGGGAGCGGTACCGGGAGCGTTCCCGAGATGTCACGGGGAGGTGTGGTACCTGGGGCTGGGGGCGGGTGGCATTTATTTATTTATTGATTTATTTATTCATGTTTATTTATTGGGTTATGTACACATTATATATATACGTATACATATATATATATATATATATGTATATATATATATACATATACATATATATACATATATACATACATATATATATATGTTCTGGAACGGTTCATGATTGTCAGAGTGCAACAGTTACTTTGATTCGCGGTGTTGAAGTCCCAAGAATGCTGTTCTGGCACGACTCGAGCGCGTCAAGACGAAACAGTCAGGTTGATTAGCGGAATTGAATTTCAGAGCATCGTGTTTTGGCAGGCTTCAGGACCTTCGAACGGTTGTCTCCTAACGTGGCACTTCCCTCAATGGAATTGAATCCTGTATGGGGCCTATGAAACGGGAGTTTGGGGGAGGGTTTATTCCAACATCCTGAATGAGTATTGGGTCTACACTGATCCTCCTCCTCCTCCTCCTCCTCCTCCTCCTCCTCCTCCTCCTCCTCCCCCTGGATTCCCCTGCTGGCGGCAGAGAGACATCTGTGAATCGCTCCCGCACTGTGCTTTTCCTGCCTCGTAATTATGATGCAGTAAATGGCCCCTTCGTCGCCCTCATTCCCATTGCCCCGCTGGCCCGAAACCGCAAGCCTCCTCCCCTTCCTGCTCCTCCTGCTCCTCCTGCTCCCACTCCTGCTCGTGGTCCTCCTACTGCTCCTGCTCCTGTTCTTGCTCCTGCTCCTGCTCCAGCTCCCTTCTCCTCCTCCTCGTCCTCCTCCTCCTGCTCCAGCTCCTCCTCCTCCTCCTCCTCCTCCTCCTCCTCCTCCTCCTCCTCCTCCTCTTCCTCCTCCCCCTCCTGCTCCTCCTCCCCTCCTCCTCCTCCTCCTCCTCCTCCTCCCCTCCTCCTCCTCCTCCTCCTCCCCTCCTCCTCCTCCTCCTCCTCCTCCTCCTCCTCCTCCTCCTCCTCCTCCTCCTCCTCTCCTACTCCTACTCTTCCTCCTCCTCCTCCTCCTCCTCCTCCTCCTCCTCCTCCTCCTCGTCCTCCTCCCCCTCCTGCTCCTCCTCCTGCCCCCGTTTTCATGTTCCCCCTTGGTTCCCAAGACGTGACTGCGCCGTGAAACAAAACAAAAAATCACGGCCTCCAGGGTCCCTCGCCGGGCCCTGGGACCTGCAGAACGCGACTCGGGATGAAACATCGGCCGAAGGAACGGGTTGCGACGTCTGGGGTGGGGGGCCGTCGTGGAATAATCCAGCCATCGCACGTCTGGCTCCAATGGCTCGCCCCCCACCTTGCCCACGCCTCCACCTTGGACGGCCGGCTGGGCCCGCTCCATCACCCTGAGGGGCCCCGCTGGTGCGCCACTTGCACTGGACGACGCGCAACTCCCTGCTGTGATGCCGCGCGCTGGCTGTGGAGTGGCGTTCCTACTTCTCTCCCGCCCCCGCTTCCCCAGTGCCCCGCGACGGACGCCCGTCGGCCGCTCCCGCCCCGGGGCCGCCGCATCATCCACCGCCTTCAGCTCCTCACAACCGCTGCAGCGCTGGCGATCCCCGGCCCGCCGGCTCAGAGCCGCTGCCCACCCCTCCCCGCATAGCCACTCGACTTTCGGCCGCTGCCGCCTTCACTCTCCGCCCTGCTGGGCCTCGCCCGCACTGTGGCTGCTGGCTTAGTGGGCCCGGGAAGCGACAGGGCTGTTTTTGTTACCGGTTCCGTTTTGCCGTTTTATTTGCCGGTTCTGTCGCCGTTTTTGGACCGGTTCCGGCTCCAATTCCGATCCTGGAGCCGTTTTTGTTGCTGTTTCCGGTCGCTTTTTTTTCCTGATTCCATTTTCAAGGGACATTTTCCTGGAAACGGTGAAAAAACGGCCCTGCCGTTTCCGGGGCCCACAAAGTGCTGGCCTCCCACCGACGCCGATCCGCAGCCCGCTGCCAGTTTGGGCCCTCCGCCAGGCCGCGCCCACGCACCCGCCGCAGCCCCGCTGCGTGAGTGCGCCCCCGCGCCTGGCCCCCTCCCGCGGCCGCCTCCTCGCCATCGCTCGGACGTCCATTCCCTGTGTTTTTTTTCGCTTTCGTGCGTGGTTTTTTCGCCAAGTGATCAAGGATGCTCCTCGATGGCCCTCACCGAAGAAAAAATGCACACGTCCGAGCGACGCCGAGGCCTTCTCTTCTCTTCTCTTCTCTTCTCTTCTCTTCTCTTCTCTTCTCTTCCCTCCTCGCGCGTGGGCATTTCCGCGACTCCGAGCCCCGGTGCCGCTCGGGCTCGCGTGCGGACCGTCTCTGCCGCGCCGCGACGGACAGTGTCTGGCTCCACTGGTCCGCCTGCCCTTTCCTTTTTCCTCCTCCTGCCGCCGGTCAGTTTGCGCTTTCCGCTGCCTGGACCGCCTGAGCGCGCGGGCGGACTGCCTCTGCCGCGCTGCGACCAAAAACAAGTCTGGCTCCACTGGCCCGAAACTCCAGGCCTCCGCCCCCTTGCTCCCTCTCCTCCTTCCCCTCCTCCTTCCCCTCCTCCTCCTCCTCCTCCTCCTCCTCCTCCTCCTCGAGCGTAGCAGGGGGGCGCGCCGAGTCCTCCGCCAGCACTACGACGCGGTGCTGCAACTCGACCGCTCGACCTGAAATCGAACTGTCGGCAGCGCGGACCTGGCCTGCGACATCGAGACAGTTCCCTCGGAGGTGACAGGTAAGACATGCAATGCATTGTACAGATAGTAGGCGAAAACAGGCACTCTGAAGGCTTCCCTCGCAGGACGCCTGATGCCGAGTCGGGCAATGGGCTCACCCTCTATAATGTGACCGACACCGGCTTCCAGAAGCCAGAAGAAGACAGGGCAAGTCCAGTAGTGCCAAGAACTGTCGGCACCATTAGGGCAACCCAGGACACATTTCGCGGACCCCTGGAACCTATGACTGGTGCACCAACAGCCCCCGAGAGTCTTGAGGACGGCGGATCTCCAAGATGGGGGGAGGGAGGCGATCACTGCTCGGACTTTTTCCCAATCCACGGAGTCGATGATGCTCTTGCAATCGGGTCGGGCCCCCAATAATCGACGCCGAAAAGTATGCTGAAGTCTGTCAGGAAAAAGTTGTTCAATAAAGGCACGAGTGAAGATCCTTTGGGGCTTGAGGGACCTCAGGGGCTTGTCGTGAAACACGGATTGGACATCTTTAAGGGCCTGGAGAGCACTGGTGCCAGCCTGCGACAGGTTGGGGTTCAGCAGGAATCCCTCGGAGGCCTCCAGGAGGTTGAACGCATACGGGGGGCTCTTCCAGTGAGACGGCCACGGCGTTCGCGCAATCGATCGGACCAAAGGTAAGTGTTCCCCAGCCTCGCGGAATGGGAGGTCCACTCCCGCTCTCCAAGAGGTGAAGGTGCAGATAGCCGCCCGCATGAGGGGCGCGTGACACATCGCCTGTACACTGCCGAGCTCGGGCCCACCCCATAGCCCAAGATTATGCCAGTCAGCATTAGTCCACGCACGATATTGTATTTTCAGGAGCCGAGGGAAGACGCAGTACTCATCATGTTGAAGGCGACGAGGGGGGGGAGGTATTGAGCAACGTAAGATAGGACAGACAACGCACGCGATCGATACAGGCCAGCAGAGACCTCGGAGGAGCTCCCCAGGGCACCAATGGAGTGGGCTCTGCTGATGTACTTAGCGATAGGCTTCTTCCAAGGGACCTCAGGAGTGACGGCAGGGCCGAGGAGCATCCCTAAGTAGCCGAGGGTGTCCTCTATCTTAAAGTCCTTCCACTCAGGTATGTTTGTCGAGCAGCCAGGCTTTGATATAGGACTTGAGTCTGGCCGTCATGGGGCCTCCAATAAGGACAATCGTGCATTTAGAGCTCTTGATCTTCAAGTCCGCAATGCGCCTGGCCAACTCGAAAACTCGGAACGCATGCATCAACTAAGCCAAGCGACGAAGGGCCATGCCAACGTTGTCCGCACAGGCACGAGTGATGCCTCTGTCAGGGGCGTCGACTTTCTCCCTGAAGGCCCGGGGGAAAGGGTCCATGGGCAACGCGAATAGTAGGCCAGAACCTGGACATCCCTGGATCATACCGCTGGTGATATGGAATAGAAATTGGTAGATGCGACCTATCTTGCCCCAACAAGAGACATCCACGTAGACAAGCTCGAAAAAGTCTTCCAAGGCACTCGGGATCGGCAACGTTGCCAGAACCACCATCATCCACTGCTGGCTGACGGACGGGAAGGCCTGGCCGAAGTCGTACCCGACCAAAATCGGGTGCAACGAGGGCTCTTGCATACTGTAGGTGCGTGCTCGAACATCCAGGTCGATAATGTTGCCCCCGAAATTCCTCCCCGCGACAAAACCTTTTTGGATCTCGTCGAGACCCTGGGGCACAGCACGGCCCAACGCATAGCAGCAAGCGGCGGCGATCAACTTGTTATCGGCGTTTTTTTCAGCCCAAAAGGACGGGTGTTCGCAGCACTTCTGATCGCACCGTTGCCGTCGTCGCCCTCTTCGCCCTTCGGCGCGAACGCCCCAAGGGCGGCGTTGAAGCCAGCGCCAAGTGAGAAGCCTTCGAGCATCCACCTCATACTGTGCGTCAGGATCTCGATTCCCATGGGAGCATTTTTCCACGCCTCGTAGGGCAGGTTATCAGGACCAAGGGCCGAGGGGCGGACGCGGTCCAGGATTTTCCGAAGAGTGTGGCTGCTCGGCGGCGGTAACTCTAGCTGCGGCAACTTCGGGGCGTGGCGCTGCAAGAGGTCAGCGGCCTGGTCAGCCAGAAAGGGCTTCGCCGTGAATACCTCGCGCCAATGGGCTCCAAGCTGTTGTAGCATCTGCAGGGGCTCTTGACCGATCGAGCTTTTGTCGTGGCGCACGCCTGCAAGGTACATGCGCTTGTCAAAGTGGGGCCACAGCTGCTGCATCTTCGTCAATCTACGCTGCTGCTTCTTGAGTTTGCTCCTCCGGTGGTAATCGGACTCTCGCTCAGCTCGCCGACGGATTTCAGCTCAAAATCGCTTTGCGGCTTCATGATGCAGGGCGCTCGGCAACGCAGAAAACTCTTGTGGCAATCGAAGAGCGACAGTGTGCACCTCATGCTGTACATCGATGTGCTCTCTGGCCAGGGGGTGGGCACGTAAAAGCTTGGCCGCCAGCCCAAAGTCGTTCTGGAAGACCGCCCGCGCACAGCTTCTGACAATCAGGAACTTGGCAGTGATGCTGTTAGGCTTATGTACTATAATGCTATCTCGTGCGTGTCGAGCGGCTTCATGCATCAGCATTTTCAGGTATGCATGTATCTGCGGCTGGCTCATGTCTGCCGACGGCGGGGCGACCTCCCAAGCAGAGGCAAGAAACTTGGCATGCTCCACAGACTTGAAAATATCGCGGGGGATCGGGCGCTGGTCGGGCGGGGTCCTCTCGCGAACCTGTAAACAGACACGGACAGGGGCATGGTCGGAGATCTCCTTCGCTTGCAGCACAACGGGATCCTGTGGGACCTGGCCTCCAGAAGCGTGTTGCGTGATGACCCAAACCAGGGGCCGAGGTAAAGATTCTGTTGATAAGCGTGAACATTTTGGTACCAGGATGGAATTGGGTCGGGGCCTCCAGCTGCATTTCAACCAAAGGTCCGAGAGCGTCCCGCCACTCACGAGGGGCAGGGGCAGGAGGAACAGGAGGTCCCGCATCAGGGTCAGGAGCGAGAGGCAGAGGAGAAAGATGACTAACATTGAAGTCGTCCACAACGAAGAGGAGCCTCTCATGCTGCCCCTCATGGCCAAAGGCGTACCCCGCGCGTATTGTCTGAGAAACAGCACGTCTCTCCTGCGCGTTCAAATCATGATTATGTACGTTGAAGTGGGATATCCACGAGCGACCATCTTGAGACCTGATTTTCGCATGTAGTACTCGTCCAGGAACGATGGGGTCATACGTGACAAGAGGGGGGGGGGGGGGATCCAAAAAGCTGTTGCCGAACCTCAGACCTCTGGAAAACGAAGAAAAGGGTAGCGACACCTCCAGTTCTGGAAGAAGCGGGGGGGTCAGGAGGAACGAAGGAAGAGGTGAACTGGAAATGGGTGTTATACGTATGCCTAAAATCTTCTAGATCATGTTGGGTACCGTGCACTTCCTGAATGGCAACTATAGCGCCTGGCTGCAACAGGGAATCGAGAAACTTCTGCTTTCTAGTGCGGAGAGACGGCTTGTGATGCATCAGGGCATTGGCGCTCCACGTCGCCAAGCGCACAGGCGTCGCAGAGCGATTCTGCCCGCTCCAGAGCGCATGCAAAATGCTAAACGCACCACTCAGAGTCATCCTCATTCCCAGCCAGGGACTCAGTGACCTTCGAGCGCAGCGTCTCCAAGTCGAAGCCGAGGTCCGCGAGGTTGCGCGGCTTCCAACGCAGGTTCGGGACGTCGTCCGTACGCGGCGTGATCTCCAGCAGCTCCTTCCACTGGTACGAGAGAACACCCTTCTCGCGGTTGATGAAGATCTTCCGATCAGGGCAAAACAAGTTAAAGGCTGCCTTCGCTCTCTTGCAGGCGACCTCACGCTTGATTTGACAGGGGGACTTATCAGGGCCAGCATATACTTCCACTCGAACTCTCTCGATACTGACGCAGTACAACTTGTTCCACGACCCGCCAGGCTGGGATGGCTTGAATAAGCCCAAAGATTGGTTGACCAGACGGCTCGCATGGTTGACCGCCCCCTTGAACTTGATGAGGTACCTCTTGCTGGACGGGTCGCCGAGGATCTCCCATTGGTCGTCATTGATCGCACCTTGCGCCAGCCAATGTTTTGCCATCTCCTTGATGCCTTCCTTAGATACGAGAGATTGGCAGCGCAGCACGATGATCGTCGGGTCAGGCGAACGGTCGAAGTTCGAGCCCGCCAAAGTCGGAGGTGGGGCAGGTGTCGAACTCTTGGCCACGCCAAGCTCCGTGCGCAAGTGCTTGATCTCCGCCATAACCTCAGCAATCTGGGATGTGTGGTCGCGCACCGTCGCCTCCAGCGGTGCCAACCGTCGCTCCACTTGGGGCGATAGTGCCGTGCATGAATTAGTGGCCAAGGTCGCTGTCGAAGCCAAAGTGGCGTTGACAGATGTCTGCATCTGCGACAAGTCCTGCGTGAGGGAGTCGCGCATCTGGTCGATATACGCTTTGAGGTCCGATTCACCTTCCCCACAGATCTCAAAGTCACGAGGCTCTCGACCACCATGACCGTGCTCACTTGGACGCTTGACTCCACCGCCACCGCCAGCAGGAACACCAGCACGAGCGGGGGACGGCACCTGAGACACCTGCGACGGGAAGGTTGCCATGGCGTCGATCTCAGCCGCCAGTCGCGCAGCTACATCATGAAGAACGTTCGCAGCCATGCCTCGCGGCTACCTGGTAGCCGCACCCGACAGGCAGAGACTGAGAACAGGGCGCGGAAAGCGCGGGGGCCCCTGGTGGCCACAGAAAGGCAGCTCGGGCCACCTGCGGAGACAGGGACCAAAGCTAATCGCTGATTCTCGGACGTATATAGTCCTTCACAACGTTTAGCCTTGAGCCAAAATGGCTACGGACCTCCTCCTCCTCCTCCTCCTCCTCCTCCTGCTCCTCCTGCTCCTCCTCCCCCCTCCTCCTGCGGGTCCCGCATCTCCTCCTCCTCCTCCTCCTCCTCCTCCTCCTCCTCCTCCTCCACCTTCTCCTCCTCCTCCACCTCCTCCTCCTTCTCCTCCCTCTCCTGGGGTCCCGCACCTGCGCGGGCGGCTTCGGGGTTGGTGGCGGAGTTGGTGTAGGTGTTCAAGGCAGGGCCAGGAACATCGGATGGATCTTGCTTCAGACACATTACTCAAGGCAGCGCTGGAGAACAACTACATTGCGCGCTTCAACCTTTGACCGCACCTGTGACGGGCGGTTTCGTGCGGAGGGTTCCGGAAAGGGCCAAGGAGTACAACACCACAGGGGGTTCGGCTGCACTGGGGAGGTCTCTAAATACTAAGATGTATGGAGGGTTCCAGAAATGGCCAAAGAGTACAGTCGGGGCGTTGACCTAAGGAACCCTACATAAGGAACGAGGCCCCTTCTTTCCATAAGTTAACCTTGGATTTCCTGTCGAAGACATAAGGAAAGCCCGAGGCAAGCTGTGACACACTTAAGGAGCGCGGAGCCCCTCCCCAACGAAAAGGGCTCCTTCTTCAGGGCCCCGACTGTACGACAACTCAGGGTTCCGGAAAGGGCCAACGAGTACAACATTTCAAGGGGTTCGGCTGCAATGGGCATGGCAGGGCTGAGCCGAGCATCCGGAAGGACGCGTGGGGAGTTCTCTAAATTCTAAAATGGAAAGTTCGGAAGGACGCATGGCTGCAATGGGGAGTTCTCTAAATACTAAAATGTATGGAGGGTTCCAGAAATAGCCAAATAATACAACAACTCAGGGGGTTCGTCTGCAGCTCCCTAACAAGTTTTAAAGACTGTCTGAGGCCGGGAGCGGGTCCCATCCACTGCACCTCGTCGAAGTAGTCCGAGGGTTGACGGCCTCCCCGCACTGCCTCCAAATGTCGGGAGACTCTCCATAGGGGGGGGATCCCATGGGGGGGGCAGGAGGGGATCCCCCCCATGGGATCCCCTCCTGCCCCCCATCGGATCCCCAGGGGATCATATGGGATCCCCCCCCCTGGAATCCTATCCCCCCATGGGATCCTCCCCCATGAAGAGTCTCCCGAAAATGTAACACTCAGTCTCGGACACTTGTAAGTTAGAAGTGCTCGGGTGGTGGGCCGGGCAGCCTTCCCGGATTTCCCGAATCTCAAACACCTGTAGGAGAGAAGTGGTCTCTGGCGCACCGCGGGCGCTGACACCCGAGGTGTTCGATGGCGGGCTCGGTTCTGCAGACAGTAACAAGGCTGAGACTGACGCAACATCCAAATCAGGGACACCTCCTCATGGCGGTGGCTGAAAGCGGCTCGAGAAGACTTCCTGTAAATTCGTGTCGTGTCGATGCGGCTGCGACCCCAATGCCCGTGCGCAAGGTTTAATGCTGCCAGTAGCCCTGAATTGGCCCGCATCGAGCTCGCTCTATCCGACAGCCGTGATCGTTCAAGGCTGCTCGATCCACGCGGCTTCTGAAGCCAGCGCTGACGCGCCGACGCCGTCACGACTCGAACCTGCCGTATCCGGATGCCACTCGAACCACGACTCGAAGCGTCGACGGTCGGCAAGGCATCTCTGTATACTAGTGTTTTGCTCGAACTCGCTGAGCAAGCAAGGGTACAGCCAAGGTTGCAGAGTCTTGGCCGAGCAAAAAACATCATCGCCAGAGCGTGGGTGTTGCCAATGACCAACCAGGAGGCAACTACTGGGAGGTTTTCGTCGGAAAGATTCAAGAGGATTAAGCCCCATTTGGGAGCTGTTACGCAGGAGTGGGCTTCGGACTAAGCAAGATCAGGCCGGATTCAGCGGGATGAAGCCGGAGCTCGGACCAGGGCGACAACAAGAATCTGACCTCCCAGGAGTTGCATGCGAAGCCGTCACGACTCGAGCCTGCCGTGCCTGGATGCCGTCTAGGACTAAGCAAGATTAGGCCGGATTAAGCGGGATTAAGTCGGATTTCGGACCAGGGCGACAACAGAATCTGACCTCCCAGGAGTTGCATGCGAAGCCGTCACGACTCGAGCCTGCCGTGCCTGGATGCCGTCTAGGACTAAGCAAGATTAGGCCGGATTAAGCGGGATTAAGTCGGATTTCGGACCAGGGCGACAACAGAATCTGACCTCCCAGGAGTTGCATGCGAAGCCGTCACGACTCGAGCCTGCCGTGCCTGGATGCCGTCTAGGACTAAGCAAGATTAGGCCGGATTAAGCGGGATTAAGTCGGATTTCGGACCAGGGCGACAACAGAATCTGACCTCCCAAGAGTTGCACCCGAAGCC